TCATGCTAGAAGCTCAGTGAGATTTTCTCTGCATGCCTCTTGTTTTCATGTAGTTCTCAAACAAGCAGCAAATGTATGTCACTGCCTGTATGTCACTGCCTGTATGTCACTGCCTGTATGTCACTGCCTGTATGTCACTGCCTATACTCCATGTTACTCAGTGCAGTCTGGCCCTCGCTCCGGTGGTCAAACTCACTTTCCACACAGCAGAGAAGATTGCAGCCATAATCACCAATACACCTTCAGTGTGCCCCCCTGATACAGGACTGTAGGATAAAGACATCAGAGCAGATGAACATCCGCGGCGTGCGGGGGGGGGGGTTACGTTTTGAAGCTGTAGGACCAGCGACACAGATGCTGATTGGCTTAAAGGTTACGCCGCTTTAAAAGTAACCCCAGCACATGCAGGCCACTCCATCCTTTTTGTGGCCGGGGTTCCGAAAGCCATTTGCATCTGTAAGGAGCCCCAGAGTCCTTAACTAAGGGGCTGGGAAGTGATGGGGCTTTGCTGGGGGGTTAGAAGCAAAGCTTCTCTTCACAGCCAGCCTATTATCCTGGTGCCGCCTTTCAGGAGCCGCTGAAAAGGCCCCTTTGAGGAATGAGCCCAGCCAAACTCATTCACGCACGTCTAACGGACAGAGGACCCCCCGTCCAGACTGCCGCCCGCGAATACGCCACCCTGCCCGTGTGCCTGTCACCCCGCATATGCCTCTCCTGCCTCTCCTGCCTCACCCAGCGGCACCTCAGCTGCTGGACGTGGCTGTCATGAACCGGCTGCAAACTATAATCTGACCGGCCCATAAGAGAACCACATATGAGCTGAACACACCTCAGCTAGAATAGGTCTGTATGTGTACAGATGCTCATGCCTGGGCTCACACACACACACACACACACACACACACACAGAGAACCTCATGGAAGAATGAAACATCAGTAAATGGAACAAATAACATGCTTTACAAACTAGGATGGCCCTTTTCAAACCCTAGGGTCTGGAATGAAGAGTTA